TCCCATGGTCCCTTCTCTTCTAAAATCTCTCGAGCCTTTATCTCAGGTGAGTTGTGTTCTGCTCTCCTGCCCTATTCCATGGTCTTTAATAAAGTCATTCTCTTATTTTTAAACTTATTGAATGTATGTTTTACTTTAACATACTTCCCTATAACTAGCTAATCATGTGGTCTTACTCAAAGTCTCTATCCTTAACATATTTTTCAATATAGTAATTTTTTCTTATTTTGCTGATTTAAAGAAAGATTCCAATAATCTTGCCTCTGTTTTGCTTGATGTTCACAGCAGGAGATGACTTAACTTCCCAGATGTTCCTGGGTCCCCAGGTTGGCTCAAAGCAGCGTTTGCTAAGAATACTAGAAGATGTACCAGCATGAAAGGGTGTATTTCGACAGCACCTTGACCATCAACAGTGTACTTGTTCCACATACATTTTCCCGGTATCATCAAGGAACAAGATTACAAAAGATATTCTGTTACTTAACCTCAACAACTCTAGTAAACATGCAGGTCTCTGTGATGTCAGCCACCCATAGGCATGTACTGAATGAGCCTCTCTCAAGCCCTCTTTGATATGACACTCTGGGCAGACATCATTGTCTTCATTCTTTGCTTTCTTTGTTCTTTTTGCAAATTCCACATGCCTGTCCTTAAAGAGCCTGCATCCAGAATTAAGAAATGGGAAATAAAGCTCTGCACTTGTTCTATTCATTTTCTGCTCCCTGTGACCTCTGGTGTGTTGGACTGAGATCCCTGGGGACCTGTTCAGAGGTGGATTGTGTGTAAGCAAAGGTGAACACAGAGTGAAGTGATGGAGGAATGGAGTCTGCCCAGAGTCACATGAGAAATTGTGAAGTCTGGGAGGTGAGAGGGTGTAAGGCATTGAATGTTTCAAAGGACCCTAATGGTTCCATATGGAGGGGTTTGTTTTGGAGGCTTAGGATGAAGCTCAATAATATGAGTGAAGGTCTGACCTACCTGTTGAGGGAGGAGCCACTGCAGCTCCTGCAGAGAAGTGAGGGTGCCTTTCTACCAGACTAGGTTGAACAAGAGTGTAGGACACAGAGTTGAGAAAGAGGATAATGTGTTGAAAACTCAGGTTAGTTTCCTTACACTGCGACAAGTGGAAGAACTTGTCTCACCACACAGGGCCTGTGTTTTTCCTGTTCTCACAGATAGCTGACCTGACAGAAACTCAGGATCCTCTACACTTGGGAGTGTTATTGCCAGTGGTGGAAAGAACAAACATTGACCTTATAAGAATCAGGGAAGACTTTTCATTCCAAAATGTGTGTCTGTGGGGCACCTGCCTGATGTTTCTGAAGACATCTGTCTATGTCATGGGAAACTTCCTGTGCAAAATAACGCAGGAAAATCCAGAATATGTAGTTTATTCCAAATCAGAGGAGCTGAGGAATCTATAAGAACCTCTGTCCTCCCAACAAAACAACACACAGGACCCTGGTTGAGTATTCACATGGAGATGCTCCAGCTTCTAGGTCCTGAGGGTAAATAGGGACACAGAAATAACTCATACACAACATCCCAATGTAGTGATGGAAGACTCACAGCATATTTTTGGGATCAGCCCACCAGGCCAACACCCTCTCCAATAGCGTTAGGAGAACCTTCACCAGGACCTTCCTTTGAACATCTGAAAACAGAGAGCTCTGTCTGAAACAGCACATTCCCCTGGTGGGACAGTTCTCCTGACTCTGGACTCACAATACTCTCAATAATGCCTGCCTTTTCACTGGGCTCACCCTGTACTGATCAGGGTCCCTGGAAAGCCCTTGATATTGGTTGCAGTTCTACTTCTGTCCTCCAGGCGACAACTTTGAGACACACAGGAAATAGACTCAGGAACTAGGCTTTGGCTAAGAAGATGATGAAGGAGCTTGATTTTCATCCCCTGCTTCAGTGACCTTTTTTTGGGCCCTCCCTCTTGACTGCTCTGTCCCACCTATTACTTCTAGAGACTGTTAACAAAAAGGGCTGTGCAAGAACCCTGACAAGCTTAGGGGGTACATGGCATGCCTCACAAGGCGTTCAGGATATTCTGATCATAAATTTCAAGTTGGACAGGTGATGGCAGATTCTCACATGCCAGGCCTTTAGTTTCCTTAGGAAAGTTCCATCTTCAGCTTGAGTGAGCTCTAATTTTATTTTATTTTATTTTTATTTATTTATTTATGTTGCATCTTGGATAGGATAACTTTGACAGATCACAATGATTTCCTTTGCTGGACCATTGGAACACAGAGAATCTGGAGTAAGTGTATGATAACACAGAACCCTTTATGTTATCTGGTCCTCTGAACACCTCTCTATCTTATAAATTTGAGTAATGTACCCATTGTACCCATCGATATGAAAACTATGTTTGTCCCTTTTGTCTTTTTTTTCAAATTAGGGAGCTTTTCCTGCTATGTTATCTCTAAAATCCTAATGAATCCATGCAACATTTTCACATTGTACTTTAATTACCATGTAGAAAACTAGCTGCAAAACTGCATTTTTCAAAGGATTTGCTTCCTTTCTCCCAGGCATATGAGGTCACTTTTGCTCAGATAAACTCATTGCATTGCTTTCAGGTTTGAAAGTTTCTTACTTTGACAGGCTTGGGAGCACGTCCTCCCTCAGGGGTTTCTGTGCTGCCCCCTACCCTATGCCTGGCATCATCCATTGGCAAGTGTGGTGACCGCAAGACAGATTTCTTAATTCTCAGGCAGAAATCAGAGGTTGTTCCACAGCCAGAGGCACAAAGACAGGTCCAATAAACAGACAGAGAGAGACATGAAACTCTCCTTGGAGGACCAGGAAACCCATAGGCACCTGACCTTTCCCAAGAGTCCTTTCTTCCTGGGACACACAGGACACCTCTCACTTCATACCTAAAAACTGCAGAACCCACTGACACTTCTGGATATGAATCTTTGTCCCTGGAAGCAAATTCCAGTCTGTTGACAACTTGAGACAGAAGAAGGGTCCTCTATGCAATTATCACCATGCTTGGCCCTGTTCACTGCCAAATTCATCTCTGTGACCTTCCTGTTAAGAGGTACTAAATCATTCTCAGGGCATTTGAAAACATGAAAAAGATTGGATTTCCATTTGAGTTTCTGAGTCACAAACAGAAATGATCCCCATATTTTGAGGACACCCAGGACTTCTTGTGCTCTGCTGAGAGACCACAGACCAAGACACAGCACAGGTCACTGCTGGCATGAGTGGGCCTTCCTCTCAGGGGTAAATGTGCCCCCATTCACCTTTCTATTACAAGTGTACCCTACAGGGCAGGAAGATCTACTTCTCCTGAGAGCTTGTGAGATGCAGAGCCTCTGGCCCACTGCAACCCCTTCAGAATCTGCAATTTAACAGAATCTGAACAGGTTCTGTGCACAGGAGATCAGAAGTGGTTCAAACTGAACATTTAGACATCTAATTTTGAATGGATACTCACATTAGTGGGGCAGCTGTTGAAGCTGCATTTTTAAGGTGTCACCTGGGTATTGTGATGTTCATTAAGTTTCACAGGTGATCTGATGTACAGCTGGGTTGATATCCTCCTGGCAGGCTTTTCTAACTGAGCTTCAGAATATCTGTTCTGAAGGGAAAAGTCAAATGTGACAGAGAGAGAGGGCTTTGGAAAAAGCGAATACGCATCTGACACAAAGGTTTTGGGAATGTCTGAAATCCAGAAAATCCTGTCTAGGGCTTTCCAAACATAGCATGAGAGTGTGTGTTTGTGTGTGTGTTTAGATACATGTGTGCATGTGTGTGCTGTTCAGAAAGCTAAGGAATTTCCAGAGAACCAAAATATAGGAGAGAAGTAGTGGTGAGTAGGGACTTGGTGGCAGAATGTGGGCAGGGAGTGGGAGAGTCCTGGGCACTGACTCCACCCCCAGCCTACATGACAAGAATAGTAAAGAAGCCACAGAATAAAGTTCAGCACACAGGTAGGACACAAAGTGGATTGCACCATTCTGGACAGAGGTGCCTGTTAGCCTTGCTGAACCTCAGGCTTTTATCAAAGAGGCAGCCACCGAGCATAAAACATACACCATGGGATCCCTGTTAATCTCTACCCACGGAGGACTTGTCCACTGGCAAATGCTCCTGGTGGCTGGTAAGTAGGAGACAATTGCTTTCAGTAGACTAAGGATCTGACACAGAGACTGGCTGGGATCTGCTGAAGAGACCAGTGTTCTGACAAAAGAGGGAAGGCTTCTGTTTGAATCTGTGGGTGAAGGAGAAAGGAACAGAGTAGGACTGGGAAGTGGGTAAAATAAAGGAAAATCTCATAATCTGGAAGTGGTGAGAGGCAGGAAATCCTCACTTTCTGCTCTTCTCCTGGTTTTCATCATTGAGTATCGATAATACAATCTGATAATAATAATAATGATTTATGTTAAGAAACACTAGAAAAAATAAAAAACTAATCCAGGGGTGCTAGGCACTCTCTTTAACACCAACCTAGGAAATGTTCAAATGTACCCTACATGGTACAACCATAGGAATACTTATTCATTCCACTCCATGTGCTTGGAGCCTGTTGAAGTCCCTGAAGGTACAAGATTCAACAAGGCCCTGCTTTATTTGAGCCAATGTTTGGGAGGAGAGAGAGAAAAGGAAAGATCTAGATGTTATATGAGGTATGCACAAGACCCATCAGAAAAATGAAGTGAAGAGAGAGAATCTTTAAAGAAGGTTGTCAGCAAAGTGTCTTAAAAAAAATGCCTGTAAGTGTAAGAAGGAGTCTGAGCATAATGAGGGGGTGAACAAGAAAACACAGAGAGAAGACTGTTAGAAACAGAAAAAGTAACAGTTTCACAGGTGTTGAAATAATGGGGGCCATGCTGTGAACTGTGACCATGGGAAGCACACACTCACCTGTAGACCAAAGATGAGAAATAAAGAGACCTTCTCAGGATTCAGAGCTTCATCTTTCCATCACAATATATATTTACAAACATAGATCTTTTTTTCTTCTTTTCCAGTCTCAGTCTTCAACTTCTGCTGCCAACCCACCACCGCTCAAATATTTATTGGGGTGCACTTTGAACCTGCAGGAGGGACTGTGCTTCTACCTCTCAACAGTACCCATCCCAATGTTACAGCCTTTATATGGTACAGGGGACAAAGCATGGACAGTAATGATATGATTGCATTTCTTATAACACACTTAAGAGATGATATAAAAGGTCCAGCATACAGCGGACGAGAGAAAATAAACTCTAATGGATCCTTGCAGATCGACAATGTCACCATGGAAGATTCAGGAATGTACACCATGTTGGTCTACATTACAGATGTAATAAAAGATGTTGGAATAGGGAATCTCATCTTATATGGTAAGTGATTGCTTTCTGACCACTAGGTGTTGGGTCGGTGTCTTTACTTCACACACAGGAAAGACATCCCTGAGTTGTGCTTCCATTCCTCTCACCATTTTGTTTCAGGTTGGATTTTGTGTAGACAAATTACCTAAACTATCAGTTCCTTTCCCAAATTGCACCCTCATTGAGAGTAACTGTAGATAGAAGGATCATCATGATGGAAGTTATTCTGCAGAGGGAATGCCAACTCAGTTCAGCCCTCTCATCACCTGCCTATAAACTTGACCTTGAGAATGACTTTGATGTGCTAGGTCAAGGCATGTTCTGGGAGGCCCTGTAAAATTTTCACAGAGCTTAGCTCAGAAATTCCTCCCCAGAACCTTCTCCCAGGATCTTGAACCCTGGGACAGTGGTGGACCTATGCCAAGTTGTGTTTGAGATCCTGGAAAAGCCTGAGTGTGAAACAGTTTAATGAGTGCCCAACACACTGATCCTGAGCTGGTCACCAGTCAGGGCTCAGGCCCAAGAGCCACATTTTGGCAAAAATGGAGTTTGGTATCATTTGAGTCTGTGTGTGGAGAGCACAGTTAAGCAATGTCCTTGTGTATAACTGCCTGTCCTAGGGGTCTTAGAAAGGTTCAGAAGAAGGTAAGCATCCCCAGAAAGAAACTGAGAAAAAGGGATGCTCCTGGAAGCTCCTTATTCATCAGGGATCAGCCCAGAGGATTCTCTCTTGGAGTCGATCAATAAGAGATGTCTCTTATCTGAGCAGCTCTTCTGTCCCTGGTTAAGGTCTGATACTGTAAACATTCTACAGTGTGCACTCTCACAACTTAGCAGGCAAATACTGCTTGAGAATAAACTGAGGCACCTGAAGATACAGTCACTACAGCAGGGTCACAGAGAGCATGAAAAACTAATCAGAGTCTCTCAAGGTCTGTCTGTGACCTTAGATTTAATTCCTCTACACTAGAGACCATATGATGATGTCTTTGGATTTTTAAACCAATGAACTGGTGGAGATGCTTTTGTCTTAGGCATGCTCATCTCACAGGGATACCTTTTGGCCTGTGTAGTGACAAAAAGGAGAAATAATGTATTTTTACTCTAGAACAAATTACCTGCATTAACAATCTGAATCACTGCACAACCTTCCCCTCACCTGGCCTATCCATACCTCCAGGCACTGGTCTTCATATCACCTACTTATTTGCTCCTTGTTTTTGGTAGAGTCACTCCAAGCAGATATAAAGAAAGGACTATGCCTTCTCACTCCCAACTCTATTAATGAAACAAACTCAGGGACCAACATGAAACAAACATTCAGTTGTTTTTTAATGAATTAGGAAGAAAGAAATGGTGGATGAATGAATGAATGAATGATCCAAAAACAGTTCTGAGCCTGAATGCTGAATTCAGAGTCCTTTAAATTCTTGCCATGCAGGACAGATTTATTTGCCTGCAGAAACCGAGACCATCATCTTAGCTCAGTTTCTTTTCTGTAATAAAAGTCTTTCTGCAATTGCTCTTAGGGCCTGGGCTGTTAATAATAATTTTCACATACAGAAGAATTCTAAGTTTTTTCCCAAATTTCTCTGTCACAGCCACCTAACATAAATTGTCCACATGGTCCAGAATTTCAGCAAGTGTGTGACAGCACTTGCCATAAGACACTTGTTTTACATTTGTGCCAGTCTTTACCTGCCCTCAGGGGAGAGAGAATGACTTTAATGGTCAAGAGCAGAGAACTTGAATCTGCTGCCTTAATCACCTTCTGCCTGTACTTTGTCCTCTTCCCTTAATCACTTGGATTTTGCTCTATCATTTTTTTGGCTCACTGACCCATTTCACTCACTGACTAATTTGAGTCTCACTCAACTCAAAAGACCTAACCCACTCTTTGTCACAGAGGCCTGAGTAGTCAATTTACTACTGGCTTGCACTTGGACTCTATGTGTTAATCTGTAGAAACCCCAGGCTCTAGGATGTCCTGAGAAATGGTGGCTTATAGAAACACAAGTCAGCTGGGTGATAGAAGTCTGTGCAGCTGCAAGGAAACACTTCTTGTCAACCAGGCAGTAAGGTGATCAGTGAAGAATCAAAATTACAAGTGTATATCTGACTCCCAATCTTATGTCTTTCCATAACTGAACACTGATACTTAAATGACACCTGAGAAAGTCTGTACTTACCACCAGACATATAGCTGGAGGCCATACATTCTCTGAGCACCCAGATTCCCAAGCATTTTCTAGTGATGCACAGACCTCCTGGGTTCTTTCAAAGACTCAAGTTTACTGAGATGCGAGAGGTGCCAACTCTGGTTGAATTTTTTGGAGAAAGGAAAGGTACTACACAGGGCAATTTTTATTCTCTTACCTGCAGAGCAAAGTTAACCACACTCAACATCACAAGCAACCAAGTCAACCTGGAGAGATCTGACTTTCATTTTTGTAAATGATAGTGGTGTTGAGCATTTTTTCTGTGATTTTTGGCCTGTTCCATATATTCTCTGGGGAAATGTCTATTGAAGGGTTTTGTTCATTTTTAAGTCAGTTTGTATGTGTGTGTATTTTTAACTCAGTTTTTATGTTGTGACTTGAGTTGTAGAAAATTTTTGTGTATTCTAGACATAAACCTTTTGTTTTCCATATGATTTGCAAAGTATTTTCTCTCATTTCATAGGTCACCTTTCAACCTGTTTTAATTTTTGATGAAGAGAAAATGTTCATTTTGAAAAAATCAAAATTGTCATATTTTTTACCTTTGTTCTTCGTGTTACATTCATAACACCATTGCCAAACCAATGTCATAAGGCTTCTCCCTATACTTTTCTAAGCATTTTATAGTTTTGGGTCTAACTATTAGAATTTGATCTGTTGATTGAATTTTTGTATGTGGGATCAGACAATGACCCAAGTCACTTGTCTGCATGCAAACATCACAGTACAACACTGTTTGTGCAAAAGACTATCCTTTCTCCACTGAACAGTCTTTACTGCCTAATAAATTATTTAACAAAAGCTAAATGCTTTTTCTGCTTACTATAAATTTCCTTGGCTCCAGAGATGGACAAAGGGGTAAACCTGATTTTCACAACATGGATAAAAATTTACATAAGGAGTGGGATCTAAAGTTTTGTGGAAAAAAAAGTCTTGGTAAGAGATCAGTAAAATTTCAAGAGAAAAAAAATTCTATCCATGAAGTTATAGGACCTATGGGCTGGGAAGGGGTTTTGTGAAGTGCTAACACAGATGACTGAGGGAATATGAATGTAATCACCCTGGGATTACATATGGTAAGATTGGAGCTGCAACTGTCTGCTTACATAAATTCACATGAACTTAGAGAATTATCCTTCTGCAAATGTCAAGAACATACTCTAGTAAACCTTACATAGCTCACTGTGGGCTATGAGTGTCTGAGATCTGAGTAAGTAGCACGGTTCCATGCCTCAACCCCATTCTTAATCAGTCACTTCCCTGTTTCTCCACAGAGCCTGAATTAGTGGTCTCCCTCAATGCCAGTAACACCACAGTCACAGAGAATCAAGATGCTGTGGTTTTCACCTGCAAGACAAATGCACTCATGTATCACTGGTTGCTCAATGGTACAATACTGCCACTCGGTAGGATACTGCCATCCAGTGAGCGCATAAGTATTTCCCAATCCCACTACAGCCTCACCATAGACCCTGTGAAGAGGGAAGATGCTGGGACTTACCAGTGTGAAGTTTTCAACCCCATCTCATCTATAAAAAGTTTGCCAGTTGTGCTGCATGTGAATGTGAATGACACTAATTTCCTGCCATAAATTATTAAATTCTAAATAAAATATTTTACAGCATGACAATAGATTTCTTGAAAGTGAATAGTTCTTAAAAGACTTGCATTGAATCAATAAACACTCAAAAATGTAAGTAGACATTGTCATTGTTGTTGAATTAAGGTCATATTCCAGACAACTTTCATCTTGGGTTCGTCTCATTTGTACTATGTCCACAGTGGAGGTGACATTGTGTCCTTCAGAGGATGAGCAGTGGTCTTGTGATAATCAGTGGGAGCAGATGATGAGCTCATAGAATCTGAGCTCTGTCCTTCTTCATGTAAACATGTAGAGGACACATGGACATTGATGTAGACAAAGGGAATTAACAAGAGGTCACTCATGTGGGTGGCAACACTGATCTTTCTTTTTCTCTTTCCCTCAAAAATTTCTAAAGCCTTGATAATTCATATATATATATATGTCACTAAAATTATTTCCAAAAGTTCACTACATTTCTGTTCTTTTTGTTAGTAATAAATAATTGGAAGCCTTGTTAATAAAACCAACACTTTAGCTCACATTTCCTAGTTCAGACCAATGCCCATGGAATTAGAAATTATGAAGCTTATTTTGACCTCCTTGGTCTATGGTATCTCTTGGAGAAGAGGACACCACCCAGACCTACAGAGAATGAAGGTGAATTCTCAGGGTGAAGCTTTCTTACCTCAGGTGACTTAAATCTTTCATCTTATGTTTTATAGAAAAAAGCTTCATCAGTGAAAAATATGTAGTGAAAGTCAGTCCCTCTGCACCTAGGTAACTAATCAGGCCAAATCAGATGTCACCAGTTAAGTCCTCCATAACACCATCTGCTCCTTTCTAGGCCTCACTCAAATGTCACAGAGACATGGATGTTTTCCCAGACCATCTTACATAAGAAAGTAATTCCCCAACCCATCCACTCTCTAACTACTGCCTCCCACCTTGATCTTCTTTAGAAGGCTTATCACCATCATCAAATCTTTGGGAAGTGTCTCTCGGATTTATTCCTTCAACTGCTTTACCTACTAGGCTCTCATTTCTACTCTGATTTCTTTTCATGTCTTTTCCTCAGGTGAGGTTTTGTTCCCTCAAACCATTCACATGTGTACTCAACCTCCCTGGACTATGTCCTGTGAGGCAGGTGGTTGGCAAAGCCACTCAGGCTCTTCATTTTACAGTGTTAGCATTGGGACTGCACTTTCCATCACACTTACCTCTTCTTATTGTCAATCCAGCCTGAAGTGCCTAGGTGACAGCTGTTCTATTGCAGGAAAATTCTCTTCCCAGTTCCACTACCTTTAGTGGGCTTTCTTCAACTACCCTAGCTATCCTATTGGGCCCAGGGTACAGACCCTGGGCAGGAAATCACTCAGACCTCTCCACAGAAACAAGGCATAGACTACAGCGGTTTTAAAGATATTTCTTTAATTTTTATGTTCTTATTTATTCTATCTACTCCCTTGGATGCTAATATAAATAGAGTGCTGTTAAAGTAATTTTTGAATTACAAATATTTCCAGTATATAATTATATTTCCATTCGTTAGCATGGTGGAAGGCTAGCAATTTACTGAACATGCATATTTAGTTTTTTAAACCACACTTGCACCCTTGGTTCATGAAGCTTCTTCTTCTTAAAAAAGTATTTGATAATTTTTGTAGTGTGAACAATGAAGCCTGTTCCATGGCAGCCACAATCATTTTTATTAGAAACTTAAAATTACTTCAATCATATACGTGCACATCAATATTAGGTATGTCTTTGACCCATCCTTTAGATGTTATTAATAGATATAGCAAAAAAACACTTAATTTTACACATGAAAACATATTGCTCATTAATAAACTAGAAATAGGGTTAGTTTTTATATTTTAACTTATGTGATGAATTAAACAGAGGAAATTTTATAAACCAATTCTAATTATTTCCTGAAGAGATGGGCATACAGGCATCTATACAAAGGGACACCACTGATGACCTGATTATTTAATTTTAAAACAAATTAAGATTCTGAGAATTTTGGGAATGTCTCAGGGCTTTCCAATATCTCAGGGAAAAATCTAGAAAAAGTTAAAATATAGAGAAAATAAATCTCTATAGTGAATATAGAGAAAATAAATCATGAAATAGTGAGCAAATTGTGAAAGCCATAGAGGAATCAAGTCAGGAATATGCTACTAGGCTTCAAGATGACATTTTGATTGTACATGTATAAGTGATGATTATAGGCCCAATCTGTAGCTTGATGACTTGGCATTGTTTTGTCTGCAGAAGTTGAGAGTATAGTTCTCTGGCAGTCCCAGAGTCAACTAACTAAGTGGCATGAGTTTGAGGCCATGGAAAGATAAGAAGATACTGTACAGCTATATGAACAAATTGTACATGAAAATTAAACTAACATGGCTGAAAAAAAGACTTTAAATTGCTGTTTGGAATGCTCAGGGGAACAGATTGGAGACCAGTGAGTAACTGAATAAGGGTCTGGAACACTTTGTTGGACAACAAGAAGCCTGGCATGAGCTTGCAGGGCTTTATATCATTGAATGTGACTCTGTTAAAGTAACCTTTTGTTTAGAGAAGCTTATGATGACTTTCTGACACAGCCACTTATACTGTTAGCAGGGTAATGAGGTTAAGTATACCCTAGGTGGGCTTGGAAACATTTTACTTTTAAGTAGGTATTTTGCACAAACTGAACAACAGTAATCTGAGAGCTTTGTTTGGACTTTACATATGGGCAAGCCATATTGCTTCTAATTCAAAAGCAAGTGCAAAAACAAAAAAGTACAACATAAAATATGCTAATGGGCAGCTAGTCAAATAATCAGAGCTTACCATTTTTCTGGTAAGAAGGAAACCAAATAGTTTGTTGCTCTACTTGCTCAGTCATTTACTTTATTATTGCTCAATTAGAGTTGTCTCCATTTTCCTGCCACGACTTTACCCCACCCCACCAAACCCTACTTCTCACCCTTAATCCTACCTCTCTTTGGCTTTTTCTATGTGTCCTTTATGCATGCTCTTTGACAACCCTTTTCTTCTTTCCACCATTATCCTCTCCACCCACCCCTATGGTTATTGTCAGTTTGTTCTTTATTTCAATGTCTCTGGTTATATTTTGCTTGATTTTTTCTTTTTTTGATTAGGTTACACTTAGAGGTGAGATCATATGGTATTTTTCTTTCACTACTTGAATTATTTCACATAGCAAAATGCTCTCCAGATCCAACCAAGCTGTCACAAAGGGTAGGAGCTCCTTTCTTTATGCTGCATGGCATTCCATCGTGTAAATGTACCATTGATTTTTGATTGATTCATTTACTGATGGGCACTAGGTTGTTTTCAGCACATGACTATTGTAAAAAATGCTGCTATGAACATGAGGGTGCATAGGTTCTTTTGAATTGGTGTTTTTGGATTCTTATGGTATAATCCCAGCAGTGGAATTGTAGGGTCAAAAGACAGTTCAATTTTTAGTTTTCTGAGGAAATCCCATATTGTTTTCCACAGTGGCTACAGCAGTCTGCATTCACACCAACCATGGACTAGTGTTCCTTTTTCTCTACTACCTCTCCAGAACTTGTTTGTGGATTTGTTAATATTGGTGATTCTAACCAGTGTGAAGTGGTGTCTCACTGTGGTTTTAATTTGCATCTCTCTGAGGGGTGGTAATACTGAGCATCCTCTCATATGTCCTGGGCTCTCTGTATATTCTCCTTGGAGAAGTGTCTATTCAGGTCCTTTTCCCGCTTTTTAATTGAATTATTTGCCTTCCTGGGTTGGAGTCAAGTGAGTTCTTTATATGTTTTAGATATCAAAATCTTGTCGGAGTTTTCATTTTCAAATATATTTCCCCATATGGTTGCTCCCTTTCCTTTGATGATGTTTACATTAGCCATGCAGATTTTTTTTTAAATGAGGTCCCATTTGTTTATTCTATCCTTTATGTCCCTTGTTCTAGGGGAGATATTGGTGAAAATATTGATGCATGGAATATCTGAGATTTTCTTGCCTATGCTCTCTTTTAGGACTTTCAATGTGTCATGATTTATATTTAAGTATTTTATCCATCTTGAGATTATTTTTGTGTATGATGCAAGTTGGTGGTCAGGTTTCTTTTTCTTTTTTTCTTTCCTTTTTTTGTGTGTGTGTGTGTAGCTTTACAGGTCAACAAACACCATATTTTGAAGAGACTATTTTTACTCCATTTTATGATTCTTCCCCCTTTGTCAAATATTAATTGACCATAGAGATTTGGGTTTATTAGAGATTCTGGGGTCTCTTCTGTTCCATTGGTCTATGTGTCTGTTCTTATGTCAGTACCAGACTGTTTTAATTATAGTAGCCTTGTAATATAGTTTGATATTTGGTACTGTGATCCCTCCTATGTTGTTCTTCTTTTCCAAAATTTGTGCAGCCACTCAGGGTCATTTATGGTTCCATATAACTTTTTGAAATGCTTGTTCTATATCTCTGAAAGACACCATTGTTATTTTAATGTGCATTGTGTTAGATATATAAATTGTTTTGGGTAATATGAACATTTTGATGATGTTGATTCTCCTAATCCATGAACATGGTATATGCTTTCATTTATTTGTGTCTTCCTTAATTTTTTTGTGTTTGTTCTTTTCTGAGTATAGGTCTTTTATCTTCAGGTTAGGTTTATTTGTAGGTACTTTATTTTTCTTGTTGTTAGAGCAAATCATATTTTTTTTTCCTGATTGCTGTTTCTGATATCTTGTTGTTGGGTAAAAAAAAATGCCTTGATTTTTGAATATTGACTTTGTAATCCACATCTTTACCAAGTCCATTTAACAAGTGGATTAGATTTTTGAGTCTGTAAGTGGAGTCTGTAGGGTTTTCTATGTACATTATCATGTCATCTGCAAATGATGACAGTGTCACTTTCTCCTTTCCTATTTGAATGTCTTTGATTACTTTCTCTTGTCTGATCACTGTGGCTAGGACTCACAATGCTACTTTGAATAGAAGCAGTGAAA